GCCGGGCCCGGGGGCCGCCGGCTCCCTTTGTGCGGGGCCGCGTCACCCTGTTGTTGTCCCGGGGACGGCGGGGATGGCACCGGCACCGGGAGCACGGCAGCAGCCAGGGCCGGGAGGGAGCACCCCCGGAATGGGGGTACTGGGGGTACTGGGGGAAATGGGGGTGCTGGAAAGGAAGGGCGGGGGGAGGCCCAGCCCCCTCTTTCCAAGAAGGGAGGAAGCAGGATGCGGCCCTGTGTCCTGTCCTGCCCCGGATGGGCCGGGGGCCAGGAGGTGACTCGTGTGTGACACGGCGGGTGGCCCTGCTGGGAAGTGAGGACATGGAGGGGGGGGGGGCTCACAGGGTTCAGGCACCGGAGGGGCTGGGATGGAGGGGATGAAGAGGATGAGGAGGGATGGAGCAGGGGGCTATTAGGGAGCAGAGGGTGCCAATCAGTGGGGGAGCCCCCCGGGGTGCCCCCAGCCCCATGGCCATCCCAGGCACCCCAAGGGCACACCTGGCAGATGCCCACCCTGACCCCAGCCCCCACAGCAGCCCCAGTGAGGGGGGTCCCAGCGTGGGGGGGGTCCCAACGAGGGCGTCCCTGTGAGGGGATCCCATGAGAGGGGTCCCAGAGCGGGGGTCCTGGTGAGAGGGGTCCCGGTGAGGGGACCCCCTGAGGTGGTCTCAGTGCGGGGGGGGGTCCCACCGAGGGGAATCCCGGTGCGAGGGGGGAGGGAGGGGTGTCCCAGCGAGGGGGATCCCCCGTCCCGGCCCCGCTCCCCAGGGACCGGCTCTGCATTCCCGGAACGGGCCGGGGGGGGCCGGGGGGGACCGGGGCTGCCCCGCTCCGCCCCCGCGACCGCCCCTCCTGCCCGTTTAAAGGCGGCGGCGGGGACCGAGCGGCGGATCCGCTGTCACCTCCCGCCGCCGCCCTGCCCGGGACATGCGCCGCGCGTTCCTGGCGCTCCTGGTCGCCGCTGTCGCCGTTACCGGGGCCGCCCCCGGTCCCGCCTGCCCCGTCACGGCACCGGACGGAGCCGGGACAACTTCTCCCGGCCCTGCCCCGAGGAGAGCCAAGGTACGGCCGGGATGGGATGGAGCGGGATGGGATGGGGCACACCGGACTGGGATGGACCGGAATGGGGCAGGATACACCGGACCAGGATGGGATAAAATGGACTGGGACGGGCTGGAGCAGGACACACTGAACCAGGATGGGATGGGATGGGACACATCGGACTGTGATGGACCAGGATGGGTGGGGACCGGGATGGACTGGCATGGGACACACTGGACTGGGATGGACTAGGATGGGGCAGGACACACCGGACTGGGATGGATCGGCATGGATTGGGACTGGGATGAACTGGGGTGAGCTGGGGTGACATACACCAGACCAGGATGGGATGGGATGGAGCAGGACACACCAGACCAAGATGGGATGGGGTGGGATGGAGTGGGACACACCGAAGAAGGTTGGGCTTCCCCTCCGCCTCCCCCGGCAGGGCCGGGACCCTGAGGGAAGGGATGGAGGACACTGGTGCAGGGCCTGGAGGTGATGGGCTGCACTGGGCTGGCACAGAGATGGGACAGGGCACAGCACAGCACTGGGGGGGACCAACAGGGACATGTGTGGTGATGGGGGACACTGGCACGATGTCACCAGCCCTGGGGGGGTGCCCGCCAGCAGCGGTCCCCTGCCCCAGCTCCCCGCTTCCCGGCAGCGCTTCGCCTCGGTGCCGCGGTACGTGGAGATGCTGGTGGTGGCGGACGAGTCGATGGCCCGGTTCCACGGCGCGGGGCTGCGGCGGTACCTGCTGACGGTGCTGGCGGCGGCCGCCCGCTCCTTTCGGCACGGCAGCCTGGGCAACCCGGTGGAGCTGCGGGTGACGCGGCTGGTGGTGCTGGGGAAGGACACCCCCGGGCCCCCCATCACCTCCAACGCCGCCCAGATGCTCCGCAACTTCTGCCAGTGGCAGAAAGGGCTCAACGTCCCCGACGAGGACAGTCCCCTCCACTTCGACACTGCCATCTTCTTCACCCGGCAGGTGAGGGGGGGTGATGGCTGGGGGGGAAACTGGGAGGAGCTGCAGGGCTCTTTGGGGTCACTGCAGGGTGGCTGGGGGCTGGCGATGACCCCAAGGTGTTTGGGTGCTGGATGAGCCCCTGGGGTGTCCATGGGTTTTGGGGGCTGGTGGGGTCCCCAGGGCTCATCCCAGGGAGTTTGGGACCCGGTTGGGTTTGGGGGTGCCCTGAGCCCACCCCTCACACCCCACCTGCCTCCAGGACCTGTGTGGGGCGGCCACCTGTGACACACTGGGCATGGCTGACGTGGGCACCGTCTGTGACCCCAATCGGAGCTGTGCCATCGTGGAGGACGACGGGCTGCAGTCGGCGTTCACGGCCGCCCATGAGCTGGGTGAGTGACGGGGGACAGCAGGGAGGAGGGGGGGCACCCACTGCTGCCCGTGAGCCCCCCCCGGGCTCATGAGCATCCCTTGGCACAGGCCACGTCTTCAACATGCTGCACGACAACTCCCAGCCTTGCCGGGAGCTGAACAGCCGCTCGGGGGGCACCCGCCGCGTGATGGCCCCCGTCCTCTCCTCGCTGGAGCCCGGCCAGATGTGGTCCCCGTGCAGCGCCCGCTTCATCACCGACTTCTTGGACAATGGCCACGGTAAGACCCAGCGTGGGGGGGTCCCGGTGCAGCCACGTCGTCCCCCCGCTGCCCTCAGGGACCCCCAGTGCAGCGGTGCCGTGTCGCCGCAGGTCACTGCCTCCTGGACCAGCCTCCGGAGTGGCTGCAGTTGCCGTCGGCGCTGCCGGGCAGCGTCTACCCCCTGCTGCGGCAATGCCAGCTCGCCTTTGGGCCCGACTCCCGGCACTGCGGCGACCTGCAGCCCCCCTGCGCCGCGCTCTGGTGCACCGGCCACGTCGGCGGCCGCCCCGTCTGCCAGACCAAGCACTTCCCCTGGGCCGACGGCACGCCGTGCGGGCCGGGCAGCGTCTGCATGGACGGGCTCTGCGTCGGCGCCAAACGCGTGCAGGAGCTCACCGTGAGTCCCGGTGTAAGGGGTACGGGGGGGTGGTGTCCAAACCAGTACCGGTTTGACCCCCCCATTTCGTTGTCCGGCTGCAGACACCCGTGGATGGGGGCTGGGGGCCGTGGGGGCCGTGGGGGAGCTGCTCACGGAGCTGCGGCGGCGGCGTCCAGCTCTCCCACCGCGACTGCACCGCGCCGGCGCCGCGCCACGGCGGGCGGTACTGCCAGGGGAAACGCACCCGCTTCCAGTCCTGCAACGTGGAGGAGTGTCCCGGGAGCACCCGTGAGTGGGAACGGAGCTGGGGGGAGGCGGGGGGTGTGGGGACAGCACCGGTCCCCGGGGAGGGCTGGGGGCTGCCACCGGTGCTGACTGTGCCCCACCGCCGCCGGCAGCCCTCACCTTCCGGGAGGAACAATGTGCCGCCTACAACCATCGCCCCGACCTCGTCAAGGGGCTACCGGCCCCCCAGGACTGGGTGCCACGCTACAGCGGCGTCCCCGAGCGGGACCAGTGCAAGCTGACCTGCCAGTCCCAGACCCTGGGCTACTACCACGTGCTGCAGCCGAGGGTGAGTGTGTGTGTCCCCCCACCCCTGCCCACCGGGCACCCCAGGGTGCTGCCAGTGGGTGCTGAGGCCGTGCCGTGCCGCAGGTGGCCGACGGGACGCCCTGCTCCCCCGAGAGCTCCGGGGTGTGCGTGCAGGGACGCTGCATCCCCGCCGGCTGCGACCGCATCATCGGCTCCAAGAAGAAGTTCGATAAGTGTATGACGGGCGGCGGCGACGGCTCCGGCTGCACCAAGATCTACGGCTCCTTCACCAAACCCCGGTAAGCACCCCGAGGGTGACGGTGGCTGGGGGTGGTGGGGGGTGACACGTCACCCGCAGGCTGCCATCGCCCCCCTCTAACCCCGCGCTGTGCCCCGCAGCTACGGCTACAACGACGTGGTGACCATCCCGGCGGGGGCCACGCACCTCCTGGTCCGGCAGCTCTCGGCGGGCGGCGGCGAGGACGTTTTCCTGGCGCTGCGGCGGCCGGACGGCAGCTCCCTCCTCAACGGCGGCTACGTCCTGCTTCCCTCCCCGACGGACGTGACGCTGGCCGGTGGTGTGACTCTGCGCTACAGCGGGGCCACGGCGGCCACCGAGACACTGGCCGGCCGGGGGCCGCTGCGGGAGCCCCTGGTGCTGCAGGCGCTGGTGGTGGATGAGCAGCGCCCGCCGCGCTTGAAATACAGCTTCTTCGTGCCCCGGGGACGGCCGTCGGCGGCCTGGGAGAAGCAGAAAGCCGAGATCCTGGAGATCCTCAGGAGCCGCCGGCGCAACAAGTAGCGGCACGAGCCCGGCCGGGACTCCAGCCCCTATTTATTTGGCTATTTATTGCCCACCGGGAGCAGGACAGCGTTGGAGAACCCCAAGCCCCCGGTGGAGGCAACCTCATCTACCTCAGCCCCTCAGTGGGCACAGCTGGGGGGTCCCTCGGGC